AGCCGGGTCCCTCAGTGCGCTGTGAGAGCTGGTGACCGTGGCATCCCCAACTACTAAGCTTGAATTCGAGACAAACGGGTGTCGCATGGCCCGTTTCGCTCCCATGAACCTTATGCGACCCATGCGTCATCGATTGCCCATCTGCGCCACACGGCTTCTCCAGCCACATGTGGCGGTGCACCGCCGATCGTGCCCTTGGCAAAGGTGGACCTGTTACTTGCCCCTGTATTTGGTGGTTGAGATATTCTGGCCACAGACCATCAACCAAATCGCTTGGGCATATTGAGAATGGCTACCACGTGAACTTCTACCGAGCGGGGAGCCCTCATTCTAGACAATCACCATTGGCCAAGATCAAATACTGGCAAGCAAGATGAGGTCACAAGCTGGCAGATGTCTCACTCTCATGTGCTCACAGGACGTCCCATACTGCCCAATCTTGACTCATCAGTTGTATCTTAGCCTGAAATCGCGCACCGACACTGCTCCATCTCAGCCCACACAGATGTGTTGGTGACAACCTAGAAACCTGCAGGGTCGGATGGTATGTTGGTGGTCGCTCGTTGCATTAATGGCTTTGCGGAAGCGAAGCCAGATGCTACACCGTAGGCGCTTGCCGAGAAATCAATAGGTCAGTCGACATCCATTCACTCATCGCTTCAATTGATGCGACGCAAATTGCCTGCCTGATGTTCCACTTGAGAAGAAGCGCAGCTGAGTTGATAGGGCCGGTGGACATTGACATTTCGGCCCACGTCCTGAGCCGTCACGGAGCGCCGTCCTGCCGAATGTTACCTCAGGGAAAGACATGAAGGATGACCATTCGGTTACTACACTTTCTGCCACCCTACCCGGGGCTTTTTGGGGCTGGCTGACTATGATACAATATCGATATCCGGCCTGTAGGGTAGTGGGCTCTGTTCCTCACGATGTGCCTGAAAAGCGACTCGATAGTCCTCGCTTTTTTCCCTCTCCCAAGATAAAAAGGACAAATTTTATACATCCTGCTAGCAGCCTGTTCATTAAGACTACCGCACCATCCACCAACACCAAGATACATTTCAGGATAGAGCCATAATTTTGGCATAGCTAGCCTGGGGCTTTTAGTATCAAGCCCTTCAAGCTCTTGCTAGGCCAACATAAGTGTTCAAAAGAAATGCTACATAAAGGGAGCGCATTGTAAAGGAACCTGAAAAAGTGAAGCGACCATAGCCCAATCCTAGGCATACTTACTTCCGTCACTCATAAAAGTCGAGATTCGAATACCGTGTAGATACCAAAGAAGGGCCCGAGCCACCTCATCCCAACTGTAAAGCAATTAGACATTGGGTTTCACGCTCAACCCCTGCTCGATTAAGGTTTTGATGGGCTGCGACAATAGAGCAATTCGTAATATGGGAGAGGACTTGACCGCCTTGAGCGTTGAGTGACTTGCATCTCGCCCGCGTTCAGCTGGCAGGGGTACGCGATCCATCAACGTTCAGCCGTTGCTAGCTGCAGCTGGCTACCGTCTACTCTCCCAATCAACGGAAATTGAGGGGGCTTAAGCGCCTAGATATATGACCCGAAAGATAAGATCTGCAAAAAATTCATTCACCCGAGTGGGCATTGTATCCGTGAGCCTGCAGTTGCCCTAAGGCAATAATCAGGGGTAGTTTTGGGCTGAATCTGCCTTGATACTAGGAATAGTCTCATCAGACAGCTTATATAGTGGGCAGCCATGCCATGTTTATTCTTATTTTTATTTTCCGGGACGATCAGAGTAATTTCAGCTTGGGAAGTAGCTAAAAAAAGTCGAACCAACTTTCCAATACGAGATTCCGATCAAGGTGTTTGCCATCCAAGATGTTCCGTTTAATATGGCTCTGTTTCCTGAATCTCGGTATGCTCCTCACGAATAATGCTCAAGCTCTTCACGTCTCCGAGAACTTTGCTAAACCCGGATTTGGACAGGGATATTTGCTCTGGCGATCTGTGTTCTCGCCGGTTGTCGGAGCCCTGCCGAGAATAACTATAGCCTCATCAACTGGAATACTAAGGTGTTAACATTGATCTGGGGCCAAGAGTGCACCGACGCCACTTCAGAATTTATTCCTAATCTTTACAAGATGGGCTCTTCAGGTGAGTTTCTACTTACAACAGAGCTCTTGCTATGCCCAATGTGAGTGAGAGAAGCTCTATGCTCACAGGTTATTATAGGTGTCTGCAGAGTCTTTGATAGCGAAGTTACCTGCAGCGGCCACTTCCCACCAGACCTTAACCTGGCGCAAGCTGTCCTCGAGGACATCGACAAATTCAACTCGACCGACCTTGGAATTCAGGCGTGCCGGGAGGCAATCGACAAACCAATAGATCATTCGACAGCAAGAAAGATCGGGATCGCCCTAGCCTGTGTCATATTTCTCTCAATGCTGCTCGGCATCCTCTCCACCCTTGTTGCCGTTAAGACTGAGGAGCCTTGGGGTCTCGGAACAAGTGCTATCCTCGTCTTTGACGCGATATCCATATTTGTTGCCCTCGTTCTACTCGTCGCCATCATGAACTACGAGGGTGGCGGATATCTGAAACATGTCCATGCAAGGGAATACTCTGATAGGGAGATGATCGGGATCGGACTGTGGCTGCTACTGGGAATGTTCATTGCACGCATGTTATCCAATCCTTGGGTTCTCGGGGGGGTAATCACAATCCTTGTTCCAATATTTCTGGCCGTTGGCTTTGTTTTGATTCGTTTCCGTGGGTTTATGATGTTCATGTAAACCTATAACTAGGTTCGCAGTTCCATAGTGGAGGAGGTTTGCCCCAAGGCAATAGATACTTCAATCAATACGATCCTCATCAATATAGTGAATGGGCGTGTTATTTAAGTTTAGCCAACAAATAGAAGTCGAGGAATCTCTTGATCTACAAGTCCATGGCTGACGGCATATCAAAGGCTATGAGCACTAGTTGAGACTAGCATTAGGATAAAGCGAATAGCTTGCTTAACATATAAAACCAGCAAGTGAGTCTCGCGAATCCGATGGCCAATGCCATTCCTTAGAAGCAGCGACAATTACCGTATCTATCATGGACTAAGCCTTAAGGAGCTGAATTAGAGGTTCCTTATACCAAGTATGAGAAATCACTTGGTCAAAGAGCGAAAAGGAGACATTTGCTAGAGTCGCTAAAGTGCAAGATGCTATCCAGAGTGCGGCTAGGATAGAGAGAGCAGTTCACCCGCTTCAGCGACTTTCTCAGAAATTCGGTTCAATCTTCTTTTTTTTTTTCTTTAAGAAAAAAATAGAACTTGGGGGAAATGATATCTATTCTACAAATGGCGTACTCATGTTAGAGTGATGTGCCTTCTACATGTAGGTTGGTAGCTGACAACATCTTACTCTCCTTCAAGCACCGTGCATCTATTCAATCATCAATTGATGGAATAGAGGCTCATAGGTAAATCTAAGAAGTTACATCTAACTTTTCATCAGATTTTTTTTTAATTAGAATAGAAAGCTTGGTTTCTGACAGAATCTCTATTGAATGCGATATATTTGCTCGGTATCAAGTAATGAATACACCTTCATACCTAAAACATTAATCATCTTTGTCCACTTCCTCCCAAAATTCTCGCCCCAAGATTACTATTTCGGTTATTGATCGAATATCCTAACAGCACTGTATGTATACGTATGTATAGTAACCTCAATAGCCAGTCATCAATAGGTGAATGCAGTGGGCAGAGTTTAAATACACCTACCCTATATCCTAGCATGGACACCCAAGCTATCGGGAGCTGCCATCAAACCTTGCTCGTGCCATCGACGATCAGGGCCAGATGATTCGCTCTATCCGCCACCTAATCTATCCGTCCATCCCCAACAGGTCGTGGTCTAGAGCGCGGGCAAGAGAACGACCGAGAGTCTTACTGGATACCTGACGGATGGCGCCTAACTCAAAGCCCGCAAAGCCCCTCCTGGGCGTTACTAATGAGGTACATGTACCTCTTATAAATTAGCCCGCCATGTACTCGTCATCGGTTAGTTCCATCCAATGCTTGCCCGCCCATTATTCAACCACGTTCCGACGGAGGCTCCGCGTTACATATAGCCCAGAGCATGTTCTCCCGTACCGGTAATTCTGATTATGTACTGCGTCTCTGGCCCCGGTCCAGGCATGACACTCCATGCCGTCTTGCCCACCCGCCCCCCTTTCAGCCCCTTTGTATCACTGTGCCATCACTTCCGTCGATCTTGGCCCTACCCCCTCGCTAAGGAGAACAAAACAATTACCCTCACATATATGCGCACGTTGATACCTTGACTTGGCTGTTCGTGTAAGGCGCAGTCGTCAACAGCGGGGGCATTGAGACCCCAAGCATCATCCACGCCCACCGGCCCCCCTTGATTTGCCAGCCAGTCCGTCACGCTGGAACGACGAGCTGCATGCACCATGACAGTTCGAGCTTTCCCCAGCTTTCTTACTAATCCCCATCACTGGTTCTCGGCCCCTCGGAATGCCACGGGCGGGTCCCTGCCCAACTGAATGGACGGCTGTATGTGTCATGTATCGTAGTCTGGCCCCATACGCCTCCGTCCACGCCGACTGTTGTGTATACAGCTGGTTGCTTTGAGTTGACGCTTGGGCGACTAGTCGCCTGCCTGCGGCCTCAGACGCAGGTAAGCACTTCATCAGGCACCTGATCAGCCCTAGAGCTCATCTCGCAAGTACCTGGCGGCCGTGAAGAGGGCGAGTCGCATTTCCCGCCCATCCTCCCTCTCCACACTAAGTATCGGGGCGTGCTCCATTCGTTCCTGGGTGCTTTATGTCATACCACATGCAGGATGCCATCCAAAGGGCTCACCGGCCACTCTTCTTCCACATGGCTTCGCTTCCGCATTGGTTTAAATACACCGGTCCTTCTGCTCCCGCCCTCCTCATTTGTTCTCTAGTCCCCCGTCTGTCCTCAAGACAGTCAGTCTAGCAGGCTGAGTTTGAATATACATCTTTTCACGCAGCTCTTCCCGCGCCTTTGTTCCCGTCTCTTGCTCTGCGACCATGCCCGCCGTCAAACAACATGAGCTTGCCGACCGCGAGACCACTGCGGAGATCATAGACATCCGCAGTGATGCCGTGGAAATCGACATCAAAAACGAGGTCGAGGCCATGATTGGTCCCAAGGAAGGACCCCGCATGCTCCCGACCTTGCTCCTGTATGACGAGAAGGGACTCCAGCTCTTTGAGGATGTATGCCCACCACTTGGCCTGGCCATGGCCAAATGCCCGTCCAATTTTATCCAGATGATGGAGAGAGGAGAAGACTTATAAAAAAACCCTTAGATTACCTACCTCGACGAGTACTACTTGACAAACTATGAGATCGACGTACTGAAGACCTCTGCCACCGACATGGCAAGCAACGTCCCAACAGGTGCCATTGTGGTCGAGCTGGGTAGTGGGTTAGTTTTCTTTCTCGCCCGTAACGCACCTTGATCGTTCTTTTATTTCATTTCCTTTCCTCCTGTCCTTGTCCTTTGCCTGCGGATTTCAAATCGTGTGTTTCGCTTTTCCCTAACCGTCGTTTGTGTGCAAATAAAGAAACCTGCGAAAGATCCGGCTCCTTCTGCAAGCGTTTGAGGACGCCGGCAAGGTCATTGACTACTATGCGCTCGACCTTGACCACCGAGAGCTGGAGCGCACCCTGTCCCAGCTCCCTGCTTTCGAGAACGTCACTTGCCGCGGCCTTCACGGGACGTACGATGACGGGAGGGACTGGCTGGCTACTATGAAGGACCGCCCGAAGTGTGTCCTTCACATGGGATCGAGCATTGGTGGGAATTCCCTGTTTCATAGAACCCCTTCCCAGCCCACTTGAGCGGCCCAACTCACAGAGATGATTCAAATAGGAAACTTCCATCGTGATGACGCAGCCAAGTTCTTGGAGGGTTTCGGGCGGATCATGGGGTCAGGGGATTGCATGTTTGTCGGCGTGGATTCGTGCATCCGCCCTGACAAAGTATAGTATGTGACTCTTCTTTCTTGAACTGAGTGTATGGTACTGACAGTGTACAAAGCCATGCGTACAACGGTAAGAATTATCAGATGGAAAATCAATTAGTTTTTGTCGCAAGCTCACGAAGATTCCTTTGCCAGATCACAAGGGCCTCACACATCAGTATGTTATGCATTCGAAACTCCCTAAATGCACGTTCTAACCCTCTACCCCAGGTTCATTCTCAACGGGCTTGAAAACGCCAACAGTCTCTTTGGATATGAAGTATTCCACATCCCTGACTGGAAGGTGATCGGCGAGTACGTCTATGACGAAGATGGCGGACGCCACCAGGCGTTCGTAGCACCCGTCCGCGATGCAGTGGTGCTCGGCCACCAGATCAAGGCTTTTGAGCGCATCAAGATCGAGCAGAGCTTGAAATACAGCTCTTCCGGCAGCATCAAGCTCTGGAAGGCCGCAGGTCTCGTCGAGGCGCACCGCTGGACTCTTGGCGATGAATACGGTATGACAACCACCTCCTCAAGACCCTTCCAACTCGATTACAACAGACTCGAAACTAATGACGTGATCTCTCTCCTAGGCATCCACATGCTCCGCAAGGAATCCCTTGATTTCCCTCTGCACCCGTCCCTGTATGCCGCACACGCCCTCCCCTCCGTCCACGACTGGACCGCCCTGTGGGCCGCGTGGGAGATAGTCACCCGCCGCATGCTCCCGGACCAGGACCTGCACGAGAAGCCCATCAAGCTCCGCAACGCCTGCGTCTTCTACCTGGGGCACATCCCAACCTTCCTCGACATCCAGCTCACCAAGACCACCGGCACGGCTCCCACGGATCCCGCGTCGTACTACACCATCTTCGAGCGGGGCGTCGACCCGGACGTCGACAACCCGGAGCTCTGCCACCAGCACTCCGAGATCCCCAGCGAGTGGCCCCATGTCCAGGACATCCTCGCGTACCAGGAGCGCGTCCGGGCCCGGCTCATCTCCCTGTACAAGAATGGGGAGGAGAGCATCGTCAGGGGCGTGGGGCGCGCCATCTGGCTGGGCTTCGAGCACGAGATCATGCACATCGAGACGCTGCTGTACATGATGCTGCAGAGCTCCAAGACGCTGCCCCCGCCGCATCGAGAGCGTCCCAACTTTGAGAAGCTCGCCGAGGCGGCGGTCAAGGCCAGGGTCGAGAACGAATGGTTTGACATTCCCTCGCAGGCAATCACCATCGGCCTGGACGACCCTGAGGAGGGAACTGATCGCGATGTACACTATGGCTGGTAAGTTAACACAACAGTCCCTGTTTCAAATGAGAGGAAACAACTAATACTGCCGGAAGGGATAACGAGAAGCCCGCCCGAGAGGAGACTGTCCACGCCTTCCAGGCAAAAGGTCGTCCCATCACCAATGAAGAGGTGCCCACTAGTCCATTCCACCACTTTGATTTTACCTTTGCTAACAAGACCCAGTATGCCAAGTATATGATCGCCTCAAAGCTTGAACAAGTTCCCGCCTCTTGGTTCGTCCCCGAGGCCAGGCCCATCACCCCCGACGAGCCATTCGAGTCCTTCCTCGAGGGCAAGTTCGTCCGCACCGTCCACGGCCCCGTCCCGCTCAAACTTGCCCTTGACTGGCCTGTCTTCGCATCCTACGACGAGCTCGCGCCCTGCGCCGCCTGGATGGGCGGCCGCATCCCCACGTTCGAGGAGGCGAGGAGCATTTACGCCTACGCGGACAGACTGAAAAAGGACCTCCTCAAGAGCAAGCTCGCCAACAAAGTCCCCGCCGTCAACGGGTCCGTATCCCTCCCGCTTCCCATCCCCCTTCTCAAGATATAGAAACTAACCTCTCCCAGCCACCTCGTCAACAACGGCGTCCAGGAGACCCCGCCACCCTCCCCTCCCCTCTCCCTCGACGACGACGGCGAGGCCAAGCCCCCGTCCGCCGTCGAGGACCCCCTCTTCACCGACCTCAACTCCTGCAACGTCGGCTTCCGCAACTGGCACCCCACGCCCGTCACCCCCCACGGCGCCCGCCTCGCCGGCCAGTCCGACCTCGGCGGCGTCTGGGAGTGGACCAGCACCGCGCTCAGCCCCCAGCCGGGCTTCGAGCCCACGCCCCTGTACCCCCTGTACACGGCCGACTTCTTCGACGGCCGCCACAACGTCGTCCTCGGCGGGTCGTGGGCCACCCACCCGCGCATCGCCGGCAGGAAGAGCTTCGTCAACTGGTACCAGAGGAAGTACCCCTACGCCTGGGTCGGTGCCAGGCTCGTCCGGGATGTGCAGGAGTAGGGATCTTTTCGGTGAAGCAAAGGGGGCGAAGGGGGGGGAGAAGTTGATGCAACTGCGAGCTAACCAGGGCGTGTTGAAGGTTGAGAATGTTCGGTAAGGCATCTCTTCTATATGAATCGGAGAGTTGTTTTTTCTTTTGCTGTCATTTCTTTTTTATTGTCAGGAACCAGATTGTGAAACTACCCCTGACTATCTATCACCTCTCAAGGTGTGCCAATCCTTTCAGTAACCATGATATCAAAGCTACCACAGCAAGTTCCTGTGGTAGGTTTGGGCTAGCATCTCACAAATCACTCCACTCATGGAAAAATCAGACGAATATTTCCGGCCTTGGGCCAACTCTTTTTTTGCTGCCCGTGACAAGAGAACGTAAACCCCTTCCAAAAAAAGCAAACTCCTCCATCATGCTTGATGCTTGTTCCTCATCTCTCCCTCGTAAACAAGGGTTTTTCAATCCTCCTCTAAAATCAAACGCCAGAAACACCGCCTAGTCGGAAAATCGTAAATTGCTTCACAGGAACCAGGACCATAGCAGTTTACTCATCAGCTCTTCCATCTTCTTCACCATGTGTCGGTCGATAACATCGTAAGCCATTCACATCTCGGGACTAGTAGCTTCGTAGTGAGAGAAGGATCTAGGATTCGTAGAAAATTTCGTTGGAGAGATCCGGTCGATTGCTAAGGTCATCTGCTGCTGCTCCAGCTGCAGCCCGTTCGAGTGCCTAACCGTTCAAGCTACCGTAGATATCGAGGATCTGCTCAACCACGTAGCTGGGGAGCTTGACGCCATTCTCCGTAATGAGCTGGCTGATCAGATCGGGTGGCTATGTCGGTCAGTTTGCTACATCCTCCGTGTCTTTGAAAATTTATCTGCATGACTCCAACTTACCGTGAAATCGACGGGGTTCTCCAGATGACTGCTCGACCCCTCGAGTCTGAAATCCAGGACGGACTGCTTGAATCCAAGCTTGTTCTGGTCATGCAGGAAAATACGGCTGAACTTGTGCGTCTCCCCGGCGACGTAGAACGGGATGTTGGACGACCTGGCCAGCTTGGCGATCTGGTACGACCCCATACGGGAGATGATGCCACCGCTCTGCGTGACGACCTCGGCGCCCACAATGACCATCGACACCCTCCGCAGCGAGGCCATGACGTGGGCGACCGTCGCGAGATCAATCTCCGCCGTGGGGATGCCCAGCTGCCGCAACTCGCCGACGACCCGATCGCTCTCCTTGGGGCGCCACTCGTCCCGCACGTAAACGACCTTGAACTTGCCGGGCCGCGACCTGGCGGCCCGGGCGAGGAGCCCCGTGACAGACCTGCTCGCGCCGTGGGTGAGGACGGTGCTGCCCTCGGTCACGTAGCGCCAGCCAGCCTCGGCGACGCCGTTGCGGGCCTCGACGGCGCGCTGGGCGAACAGGCGCCCGTTGCGGAGCAGGTGCTGCCGCACGGCGTCGAAGGAGCCGTCCTGCTGCTTCAGCGACGACATGATGTACTGGTTGAACAGGTCGGTGCCGGCGGCGAGGGGTATGGGGTTCTCGACGGACGCCTTGAGGCGCTCGGAGTGGGCCTTGATGATGTCGAGGGTTTCGTATACTGTCGTCGACGGTACCGTGTTAAGGAGGGCGATGAGGGCGTTGATGGCCGCCACGGGCTTGGTGAGGTCGGGGTCGGATTTAAGCAGGCTGTGGTACGTGGCAACGATACTGCATTACACAGGTTAGCTCGGCTGTTGGTCGGTCCGGTCTGGTAAATGGGCATCATACTCGAAGTCTGCGCTGTCGGAGCCGGTACGAATGGGCAGCTCGGTCGTGGGAGCCAGCTCCTTGGCTAGAGGTGGTCAGTCAATCGGTCGGTCGCAGGTCGATCTGGGTGGGCTGCAGCTTACCAGAAGCTTCTGCAGTAGCCATGTTTGCTGAGAGCGTTAAATTCGATATAATTGTATTAGAAATGAAGCAACGGAAGTCCAATTTGGCCGACTCTGACTAGCTATGCAAGCGAGGTGAGGGAGGAAGTTGCCGGCTGGCGATAAATTTGAGGTGGTGACTCAAAAAGTTGACGCGGGGCACCAGCACATCCCGCATACAGGTGACAAAAATGGAGGGACACCGCCGCTGATTTCAACAAAATATCAGGCATTAGCATCATATGTAAACACACAAATCCGGTGCAGTATCCAAAATAAATACTTGCTTGATTCCTCGGTGGTATCGTCATTGTCACAACCAAAGCATACTAGAGCCAACAATTCCATACGAGAGGTAGTCGCAGTATCTTGGGTGTACCATGTTTTGTGTCACCCTCCGTCCCGCACACATTCCATGCACGTTGCGGGAAATCGCCCCACCACAGCCTCCAACAGCATCACCAAAAGCATCACCCAGGGCACATTTAATTTTCCTCAATGAAAACCTTGATTTGAATTTCGATAGGCTTCTATGCGCGATCCCAAAAGAAATCCCCAGCTTTTTGTATCACCACGGTCAATGCCACCCCAGGAAACCCCCAATATCGATTCATCCCACCTCCAAAACAGAGAACAACCCATGCGAAGAGCAACAATGTCCATTTCGCCGAGAGGTATCAGGAAGGCACATCAAGTCTCCCTCTTCCCTTCTTGCGGTAGCTGTTGATCCGGTTCATGATGCTTTGCCTCCGAGATGGCTTCCGGCTCTGGCTTCTTGGCCGGGCCTTGATCCTTTTCATCAGAGTTGCTGAGGAAAACCTGAGCCGTCTTGGGCTTGCCTTGTGCTTCAGGCTCAGCCACTCGCTTTTCACTGTCTTTTGGGGCGGGATGGTCATTTTCGAAGAACGGAAGGAAGGTCTGTTTTGTGGCTGGTTGGTCCTCAAAAGATTGCTTTGTAGGCTCAAAGGGCATGTTCTCGTGAGCAAGGCCGGGTGTGATAGGTCTGATGATATCTCGAATGATGCAAGTAGAGGTTTGTTTCGCCCGTAGGTGTAAAGTAATGTATCTTGGGTTTTCGAAGGTGGAGGGTAAACAAGTAAGATTTTCGCGTCTGAGTAGAAAGACGGCATTTTGTTTCCTTCTGTTACGATTGACACAACAGTGGAAGGAGCACATGGCCATCTGGCTGGAGCTTTCGGGGCCATCAACACGGCAAGTGCACGGCAAGTGTGGCAAGCACGCTCCCGTGAAACGAACAGGGTGCAATCGCACATCCCTCAGCTTTTGGGTTGATGGAAGGCATGAATGAGCCGGATTCACGAATCGCGGCTTCTCATATTCCATCTTGAACCTGCCTACGAGCCATGAAGTCCAACAGAATATACATCGTGAACAGCAAATCCATCATTTCATTTGCATCACGTGGAAGAGGCAAGAGAACCACACAGTTGACAAATTTTGGATATAAAATTGAGTTGAACGAATTCAAATGCTTTTGCAATAAGGAGAATACTGCTCCGAAAAGAAACATGCTATCGCTGCCTTGAACGTCCAGGACCAAAATGATGTTTAAATTCGCAAACACCGAAAATGCGAGTGCCAATGATATGCATCCAGAATGGAGAAGACAAAGGATAAGAAGAAAAAGAAATGGAAAATGAAAAGGGCATGATAAATAAAAGAAAAGTCATCAAAATAAAATGAAAATGAGAAGAAACAAGAGAAAAGACCAGGTCGGGATATGGTCCAAGCACACCTTATGCCAACCTTCAGCCTCGAGACAGCCAGACCTCCTAGATTCCGATCTGGCGCATGCGAGCAGTCAACGGCGTAGGCGGGAAGGTCACCATAGGTGAAGGCTGCTTGGCGATGACGAGCGATGGCAGCTCGTCCAGCGACTCTGCGTGCACAATCTGGGGCACCTGAAGCGCAACGTCCAGCATCATGAGCTGGCTGGAGACAGCCTTGGCAAGATCTGCGTTGCCGCCATTCTGGAAGAAGGACTGAGAACGGTTGAGCTTGTCCTGGGAAACCTGCAGTACCGAGGCGATGATGCGCAGGATCTTGTCCTCGTCCGTCTCGTAGGGAACTTCCTGGCCGCCGTTCTGGCTCAGGGCAACTCGCAGCGCTTCCTCATCAATCTCGCCCGAGGCATCCAGGGGGAAAATGTCGCAGCGTCTCCACGTCTCGGGCACAACTCGCGCGCCGCCCACCTCCTGCATCTTGGCGATGAGTCCCTCGTACGCCAAACGGATGGGCTCGTCGTCGTCACCGCTGACGGAATCGCCAAGGACATAGCCTAGGACAAGGTCCTGGTATGGTGCACCTGCGTCAGCCACGTCGACGATCCTGACTTGCTTGATGGCTTCATTTTCCAGAAGAAATGTCTCCATTTCCTTCAGGATGTCCCGTCCAACGAATTGAGTCATTGTGTTGGCTTTGGTAATATGTCGTGGTACGATGAGAAGGTCTAGAGCCAAGGGTAGATCTACACTAGCTATTCGTGGCGAGTAATTGGGGTAGAATATAATTAAAGCAACAATTGCCGATCGTGGAAATACAAGGACAAGTAATTTAAAAATTCAACCGGGAGATGGTGCTGACCTGGTCGAGTGCTCTTCTTATACCCCAGAAGCAACACAGTGGGCAGCTGCGGGCATAAGCGCGAAGATGCTGGGCTGAGTTGAAGATTAAGTTAAAAATGGCCTTGATATGAAACGAAACCAAACGATGGGGCCAGTGTGGTCTCCGGCTGTTGCGTTGAAACTGCGCGGATGCCGGTGCTGACGGATGTCTGGAGGGATATTACTGTCCTTGTGAACAAAAACAGGATGGGCCGGTTCACAGCAGTCGCGACAGTGTCAGAGCAAGCTTCAGTGGCCCAGCTTTCGGTCATATCGCCTTTCCAAGGCGGAGATCATGTAAGATATACATAGCATACGGGTCCCTCCAGTCGGCAGTAGGCTGTTCCCGCTGGCCTGGAATCCTGCGACCAAACCAGTAACCCATTGCGTGTCATATTTCCAAACATAGCCACCTTGGCTAAAACAGAGGTCCTCGTCCGCCAGTCTGCCAAGCAATAGCAGCGGGTGCCGGTTGAGTCATCTAGCAGTTCATCCCCAACAAGTTCCATCAAGAAAAACTGTTGTTCCGTTCGGGAAGGGGAAGGATCCGATTGCACCGATTGGGTGGGAGCTCTCTTGCAGCTATTGTTGCGATGTAAGTCATGGCGAGCATATTTATGCGAGCACAATTGTAAATAATTGGTACTTATTACATATCGTGCCTTAATACTATCCGTCCATAACTTGCCTCTCACAAGATGGGAAGAGGGTATGCATAACTAGGTGGGCCCGGCACTTTGGGCAATGGCTGCGATCAACAGCACGATGCTGGTCATCATGCCACGCACCAGGGCCTCCAGCACACAAAGCAGGCTATCTATCATCCCCCACAATCCGGATGGCCGAGGATGGTACCGTGACATAAACGGCGTGCAGGGGAGGGCTGTGATTCACGGCGACAAGCACATCCATCATGTCTCAATCGATAGAAATCACATCGAGGACAGCTGAGACCAAGGCCAAACAGACGGTTGGAGGTTATTAATAATGAGCGAAAGAGCGCCCTGGCAAGGCTAGCCAATATTTGCTGGAATAGTGACGCCGACCGGCTGTTTCAAGCGTCCAGACCAATCCTGCCGCGGAGCAGCCACATGTGACTCGATCCCCGTCGTGGGAAGGGACAGCCGATGGTAGGGACAGCCAACCAGCGTCCTGGCCGGTGGTGCAACAGGACCGGGACCATCGCACCGCAGCAGGCTGAGTGACGGAGACAGCAGCCAGTTGGAGTTTGGACTTTGGACTTTGGTCAATGCTGCCTCGACGGCATTGGGCAATCAGCTCCTGCCCCGCACCTTCGCCCTTCACTGCGACTGCCGCCCACCAAGGAACAACTGCTCTCAAGTGCTGCTACTAACTCTGCTGCTACTGCTAGCCTCCCGCTCTCCGTTCCATTTCTCCAGCAGCATCAAACAATTTACTTGAGGCAATCCTTCCCATTTCTAAATCAGCATGTCCCAGTAGTCTCACGGCCAATTCTCCAACAGCCTAGCTCCTAGGCCAAGATAGCATATCAATCGGCCATCACCCGCCTACTAACCAGGCCACTTCCAATTTCTATACCCCTCAATCCGTCCTTCATCTTCCCTCCCCTCCTCTCGTCTTGTTCCAATAAGACATTCCTCCCTCTGTCTGCGATATTTTCTCCCTCTCCGACTCTCTCTCTTCTCCGTCAATCACCATGGAGCTCCTCGACCCCGCCACCGGCACCCCCCTCCCCTCCGACGCCATCCAGCGCATCCTCTTCATCGCGCCCAACGTCCATGTCTACAACATCCCCCCACGTCCCTCCACAAAAGGCCATGTCGCCGCCGCCTGGACCACCGATCCAGCCCGTCAGATCTTCACCGCCCGCCTCCGCATCCTCGAGACTTCCCTGCCCCTCCCCTCCCCCTCCGACAGCCTCGCCTCCCCGCGCAACGCCGCCATCGACACCTCCGCCTACAACAGCTCCAACCTCAAGGTCGACGTCATCCTCGAAGACCCCAAGACCGGCGCCCTCTTCGCCGCCGCCCCCTATCAATCCAACAGCACTGTCGAGCCCGTTCTCGACAGCAGTCGCTTCTTCGCCGTGACTGTCCGCGATCCGCAGGGCAGGAAGGCCTTCCTTGGTATTGGCTTCGAGGACCGCAGTGAATCATTCGACTTTGGCGTCGCCCTCCAGGAGGCTAGGAGAGGGCTGGGATGGGAAGGCCCCCAGGCGCTCACCGGACCCGCCAAGAAGGACGACCCGGAGAAGGATTACAGCTTGAAGGAGGGCGAGACCATCACTGTCAATATCGGCAACACGGGCATTGGCCGCCGGAGGGCACAGCAGGAGCAGCCATCAAACGACGGCCCCGTCGACCTGCAGTCCTTTGCTCTCCCCCCCCCTCCTAGTAGTAGCTCGAGCATGAACAGCAACAAGTCTGGCGGCTTCGCCCTCGCTCCCCCGCCTACCGCCGACGAGGCCAGGCGCAGGAAGAGAATGTCAGCGCAAGAATTGGGCTTTGATGATGGTAAATTCGGCGAATTCGCATAGCCTTCTTTTCTTTTTTTCTTTATTTTCACGTGGCGGGACACCCAGGGAACAGTTTTCCCTCGTTTCCCTTTTTTTCTACTCTTTTTATATTTTTTCCATCTGTATATAATAGAATTAAACTGAACAAATGGCGAACTCTCAAGGCGGATGCTAGCGCTGAACTTGATAATAATGAGCAGGTAATGCAACACTTACTAGACACACTTGCACCAATGAGAAACAAGACAAAAGTCTGTCAAATGCCTGAGAAGCTATGTGTTTTTTATCTGCAGAATATACAAACAAGCAATCGATATTACATGGTCAACCCGAAAAAGAAATCAGAGCTTACACCAACCAACAAGAAAAGAGACAACGGCCCATCAAATGCCTGAGAAGCTATGTGTTTTTATCTGCAAAACAAGCAAAAATAGTACATGATCAATCCGAAAAGAGAAAAAAAAAAAGTAAAAGCCAATCTTCTGCGGAGCTAATTCCACTCAGTAGGGATGTAGGGGAGGCTTAACCTCCTCTCCGTGAGGCCCAATGTCCCATCATCAAACGACCTTCGTCTCGATGGTTCTTCGGTGTCCTCATCTGCGTCTGGCATGCTTGATACTTGAGCCGACGGGCTCGCACACCTCTCGGATCCTTGGTCCATCCCTCTATCCAAGCATTCATTACCAGACTCCTCGCCAGTCTCGTCAACCTTCTCGAGTTTGCCCGCGTCCTTCCAATCACTGAAGAACCCCCATCGGGGCACGAACGGGGGTGATGTGGCGTCAAGGGGTGTATCAGGACGAGGCGGGTCCCATACAGGCGAGGGGCAGCAGCTCTGGGTCCGAGCCAGGTCCCAGGCAAGGTGGTTGCGCATCTCGATTCGCAGCTTGCACAATCCTGCCTCGAGGGCTATTTCCTGGTTCTCTATGCCGTAGCGCTGGCTCCGGAGGGCGCTGAGACGTTTCCTCAAGCTACGCCTCCGCTGTTTGGTCTCTACCGTCTGTAGTTCCGCTTCCGTCGCAGCATACTCCTGGTATACGGACAGCTTTTTCAAGTATTGGGTCTCGAGACCGAGCTCGAGGTAGGCCCTCTCGTTGGCTATCTCTTCCCGGGGCCGGGCTGAGAACATCTGGTCCGAGCCGGAAAGGCTCGACGACGATCGCCGTCGAGTTCCTGGTCGGCTGTCTTGATTTTGGGGGATGGTGAGGTGCATCCGCGGGGGTTTCTCATGGAGGGTGCTGGGCAGTGAGTCTGAAGTTTCCGGTTGGCCTATTGGCAACTCGAGGATTGGCCCGGGTTCCGAGTATTCCAAATAATCAGGAGGGGGTGTCATAGCCGGCACAGGAATAGGCATCCCCGGTTGAGCAGAAAAATAGCAAGAATCCATATTTGCGGTTTACGTATATAGACGACGGGAATAGATGCTGTTGTTTGTTTTATGCCAGGACGAACTTATGCAGGTAAATATGCAAGAAATGTGCCGATCTCGTTTAACTGACTTCTGAAGAGATGTTGGTTCGTGTAAGCAAAGCCTAGATCCTTCTAAGAACATAGATGGATAAAGAGAATCCAGAACAAATGATTTTCGCCAGTACTCTCAGAGCTTTGTCCCGGTGATGGTCCCGGCACGCCTGCATGAATGCGTCGTATGGAATCAACATATACCGACATTCACCGGTAGCAACATGCTGGACTTCGGGACCGGTTGCCTCACCTGATTGACAGCATCCAAACACGATAAGGGCAATCGGGGCTTCCGCTGCCATCGAAAACTCAATAGCCCTGCCCTGGGCCAGCAACAGTAGGATATTGTTCGGGCGATAGAGACCACAAAATCAAATGGAAGCCACATGACCTACCAAGCTATTGGGGCGAAACAAGGCCAGGGCCAGATGGAGGGACCAAGACAGAGCTTTAGCGCCCACATCTTGGGCTACCCAGCCTTGTTCGAGGCCTCTCCACTCTATTCGGGGTGGTGCGTGCAACAATCGATTTGGCTAGCGATGGAATCGTTCCAAGGTGGCCTGAGCTCACCGATTTGTCCATTCAGATAGCAAACCCATCGTGTTTGGGTGGCTCATTGAACCGCCAAAGCCCGGCATCGATAGCCGCCTGGTGGATCGAGGAAACTTCTGTGTCAGTGACAGCCCTGTTTATCTCCGCATATCGAACTTCCTCCTCGGGTTCACCTTCGTTTGTTATTCTGCGACGCCTCTTCTTGCCGACATGGGCGCGGGGATGGTACTGCTCCATGATATTGACAAAGCAATCGCGGGAGACCTCTTTGGCCAAGAACTTCATAATCTCTGCTCCCTCAGCTTCTTTGCCTGGCATTACCAAATGCCTCACCAGCAGACCTCTCTTGGCGATGCCGTCTCCTGTAAAGCATAGATCGCCGACCTGCTCCTGCATGGCCTTGATGCTCTCCCTGGCGGTGGCGGCGTAGTCGTCCGCCTTGAGAAGCCGCTTGGAAGTGTGGGGTGACCACACCTTAAAGTCGGCGAGGTAAATATCCACCAATCCGTCCATCAATTGGAGGGATTCCAGCGAGTCAAAGCTCGATGTGTTGTACACGATCGGGATCCTGAGGCCGAGATCCCTCGCATGAAGGATGCTCAACGCCACCTGGGGCACCACATGCTCAGGGGTTACAATATTGATGTTGTGGACACCACCTGTCTCCAGGAGCTTCATGTACCAATCAGCAAGGTCCTCCGGGCTGAGATCCATTCCGTTCCGCTGGTGGGAGATGTCATGATTCTGGCAAAAGGTACATCTTAGGTTGCAGCCACTCATGAATACAGACCCGCTCCCATTATGGCCCTGAATGCAAGGCTCTAATTGTCATGTTAACGTATGTCTTCCACTCTAGGGGGAAAGAAGTGGAAAGTGGCGGCGTTGGTCTGGGAGCTACCACTTCCACCAAGAAGCAAGGGGGTGACTTTGCAGAGGGAACCCAGGGAAAAGTAAAAAAGGCGAGTGCACGGGCTTACGCGATGGACCGACTAGGAAAGAATTGGCTTGGAAGAGACGCGCAGGACAGCATACCTTCTCCGAAGTGAGGAGCTATGACATTGACCTTGGCTTTCTCGCCAATCAGGCACATGCCAGATCTCTCGTATCGGTTCACACCACAAAGACGCGGGCACAAGTTGCAGTTGCGCAAATGAGCGTATGCCCTGGAGCGCTTCATGGCCGAGTCTCTCGCGGAGAGCATCTGATATCTTGGGACGTAGTCATCCAGCAAGAACGGCGGGGCCAGATGGAGGCATCGCCGGGTCGCTTGGCGGCGAGCAGGGTAGCCTCTAGATGCGAGCCGTGGACCATGCGTTTGAATCAGCGATCTCAGCATATTCACTGAGTCCTTGCTTGTTTCAGTTTCATCGCAACGCTGGAGAACTGAATAGTAGGACGGGCATATTATGTTGATGAGGAAATGGGAAATTGGCGACTTGCCATTGGTTGAGGGGCATTTACACTCCGTCACTCCTTCCTCGGTCATTCAGTTTGACCTACCCTGTATCAACTCCCAAATACTTTTCGAGGTAGCGAGCACATGGACTTTAATTTCTTCCCTTGATTCCAGTTCAAACGGCTCAGTATAGGTGGATAGGTAAGATATATCAACTCAATTTGTTTGCCTAAAAGAAAGGTTTTCAACTCCCGAATTGTGCATCATCATGGTGTTCTCTCAGTATTTCCCGAGCCTCCATCTTCTACCCTTTTACGTTTCTTGCCCTCATCTGGTCCGTTCCCCATTCCCACCATCAAAGCTAATTGCTGCTCATAAAGATGTCGTAGTACAACGTGTTCGCGACGCACCCTTTCCAGCTCCCTCGCGGTTTCAGCCGCCACTTCCGCTTCAAAGACCTGTCGCCTTTTTGCCTCCTTGTCCGGTTTCCGTGCTACCAGACGTATCTCGGGAGCCTTTCTCTCCGCTTCACGCGTGGCCAGGACACCCGGATGCTCCTCCGAGCAGGGGAGTATGAAAATTGGGGACTCTTTTCCGTGTCCCTTGATTCGGGACACTCTTGAGACAACATCCAGTTGGATTATGCCCTGGTCGTGCCCCTTCGTATGGACGCCGCGAGCTTCACATAGCCTCAGGTGTCTCTGCTCCTCTGCCTCTCTCTTATCGAGATGCTCGTGGATAAGGTCAGTCACGTCGTCCCCGATGTTGGTGAGGATGTACCGGTCTTGTCGCTTCGTTCTCCGGTCGTGTTCCTCTGGGGGATAGTGTAAGATCTGGCGCGGTATGCTGGCTTCCTTGGCTAGGATGTCGGTCAAATTGGCCAAGTCGCACTCGAGCTCGCGCTGTCGCAACGTGAGGTGTTGGTGATGAATTAACCACTGCCCGGTCAGTGTGTTCCTGGCACACGCCATCTGCTCCGAATCGGCACCACTGCTGAACGGGAGCATGGAGATCAGCCCGCCCGTCTCGCCAAAGTCGTCATCGAGCAGCTCAAGACACTCGTTTGCGTGCATGAGAAGTCCGTGGCCCGACTCGTAGGGCGGTAGTCTCACTCGACCTCTTGCATAGCCGCCAAGGTTCTTTCTTATGGTCAAAGGGCAGTGGTGGGTGACGCCCAGCATCTCGTCTTCGCTCGCGATTTGGTTCTGTAGGGCCCGTAGAGGGAGGTTGTGGTATTTGTCGATGTTCTCGTAGGGCTTGCTGAGGTCCGCCAGCCAGTCGAACGCTTCATTCTCAACAGTCAGGGTGCCATCCCCAATGAATACTGGGCCAGTGGAAACGGATATCTTTTTGATTAGAATAGCCAGGCTCTGTGCATGTTGCTTCAGAGATAGCAGCGTGGGAGCTGTGCCGGATGAGAGATGGGAGCAATTGACATTTGCGAGGAGTCGTAGGTCTTCATGTGTAAAGACGCCATTGCTGGTGTCAATTAGGTCGCATTCAAATGATGTCGACCAAGGCGTGGCATTGAGACGTCGTTTAGGGTTAGGGGCAGGCATCTCAGCAAGGTATGGGCTCTCTCCCATGTCTGGGAGGAATTGTTGGGGGTGTTGTTCTTGTGACATTGTGAGGCAGCAAGAGCAAAACTAGGTACGTTGAGGTTCAATTCAGCAGCAGAAGTATGCAATGGGATGTAGGAGAAGATGGAAATTCAACGGGCTTTCATATATAGAGACGGTGCTCGCCCTCGCGCAGAAGCCAATTCACTAACCATTGCGTGGTCTTTTCTTCTCTTGTTCATCCTGTTTGCTTTCCCGGTATATTCATATTAAGTGGCGTCGTTCCACCAACGCCGAACGTTACACAAGAGATACTTGTGAGTAGATAATGGTCAGTCCTGGCTCGTTCTATTTTTACACGCAGACAGTTTTGTTAAACAAAGGCCTCCTTGACAATTGCAACAAAGCTGCAGGTGAGCATCAGCCAGCATCATTGTTCAAGCATCACTCAGAGCATTCATCCCTTGCATGACCAAGCCACCAAAACCAGAATCTGTCCTATTGTGGAGGGAGGAGGAATAATCGGTCACAAGGGTAGCACTGTGTCTCGGCCTGCCCTTACCCAGCTCGCTGGCACGTTTAAGCAGTTATCCTTGCCTGTGTGATGGAAACAATAGGTTCCATGTTTGTGGCTGTAATCGACCGTAACCACGAGACCGGAAATATTATGAGACACGACAGCGGCAAACGCCTAGACTGGACCCTGCGGCCCTGAAAAACCGACCCAGATGATCCATCCCGCGAGTTTTCGGACACTGGCGGGTGGCGGTGCCCGTGTGGCTCTAAGCTGGACTGTGTTTGAACAAACATGGCGAGTTTTCAGCTGCATCGGGGTCTAGGTTAGGTCGGCACGAGCGACACCCCACTTGGTGACCACCTAATATTGGGTGTGGCTCCTCCTCTCGCGACGGCGCTGTGATTGACAGGTCACATGGGACGCGAGCAGCGGGTAGTGACGACGAGAGGGAAGATTTGTTGTGAGATTGAAACGCGTGTCACTAAATCTGCAACGCCTGCGTCGCAGAGCACTGAGTGATGTGCAGCGCTGGGAGAGACAGAGGAGATCGTGACAGAGTGGAGATACTCAATCTGGGACCTGGTGATAAGACAGTCGTGAGGCCGCCAATCGACTTTTAGAAGCGATCGTGAGTCCTCAGTTGCTGTTCCTGATCAACAGTGTCTGATGAGAGGAACAAAACAGTGATGAACCTGTATTTGCTAGTCTGATCCGTCCGGCCGGGATAATATTAGTGTTCATCGTTTAATATTAAGGCATCACTGAGTTCGCTGCGTTCACTGATCAGATCGTCATTGCCTGACATCACAGACTTTCTAGGGGGACGGTGTATGTACTATCTCAACTAGACGCTTACGCCTGCATTATGCGCCCAAGCGAGAGCGGGGAGGCTACAAGCTACCGAGATGTTGAACGCCTCTGGTGCTCGAAGCCGAAGAAGATCACATTCCAGCGTTTGTTCTGTTGCGTAGGTGATGGTAGAAGTTGTCCCTGACCTGGAAGCCGTACGGGCCAATGGCTCTCGAAGCAATAAATGGCCCCATAATGAAAAAGCTTGTGCATAAAAAATAGCAGCAATTTGCGACTGGGGGGAGCAGACAGATCGCGCTAGCCGAGAGCATTATTGCCTGCCGACCACGATAATGACAAGGGTCGGCAAATCATGTCTGTTACCAGTAGGTGCCCTCATGCCTGTCCGCATGTGTCGTCGTTCCTCCTCGTGTTTTCCTGAATGCTGGTTTTCGCCTTGGGGCTCCCATCTAGTATCCGGTGGCAGGGCAGCAGGACTCAAGCCAATGCAACCTGCACGGCCAGGGGGCATGTGCCGGGCTCAAAGATGAGAATGATATCAGTGTGTTACAACGCTTCGCCTGTGGCTGGCAACGGTAGAAACTCTCGAGTTAAGCTAGCGCCCAAACCAGGTCAATGACCCCCTCCTGCAGGCTGCTTGTCGTCGCTACCAGGCCGGCTAGCGAGATTTGCTGTTGATCATTGTTGATGTTGAACGCTAAAGGAAATGTGCCTGCCCGAGGGTGCATTCCTAGAGGGAAACTCTGTCTGCCGAGACACCAGGCGGGACAGCTGATCGATCTGGAGAGCCTGTCTCAGAGGCATACTGGAGATACCTTAGTGGAAGTTCGTAGGTACCTCTCTGGTGGCCCCACCTCGAGCCACATCTGGTAAGTGGCTCCTTCCAAGGCCTGGGAGTGCTAGTATGCACTATGAAGTCGTAGGAAAGAGCTTTCCAGCCGGACAGGGATCTTCACGCCGACCCTCCAGCCATAGCGTCATGCAACATGTGTTTCGGCCACGCCAAAGCATGATTATTCCCAGCGGCCTCCTGTCCCAGAGCCTAAGCCGGCCAGGGCCTGGGCCCGGTGTCCAGCTCCTTGATGCTAGCAGTGGCACTACGTATGCGTGGTCCCAGCTGCCACTCGATTACTGGAGCTTTGCCTTCTGTCCTTACGTCAACACCAATCTTGGTCGCATCCACTGCCAATTGGCAAGCTGAAGGTCTGTCCCACCATCACCACCACCACCACCGTAGATGGCCGCATATATGTAGAGCCCATTGCGCTGATCGCCGACGGCAATGGACAGAGGTAATCTGCGTCCCAATCTCATTCCTCCCACCCGACCGACACCACCATCCCCGTTGCCACGGTGCGGCCGTACTTCGTCTCTTCCACGCCACAGGCACGACGAGATCCCAGATTAATTCTTTTAATGCAGCAAAGTCAAGGCCCCGACCGCCAGTCTTAGCACCCTGTTGCCGCCTGGGCCAACTAGTTTCACCTGTCACCCAGTTTTTCTTTGGCTTTTTCTTCTGTTTCGCCCGTCCACCGGGATCCTTAATTTCCCCTGCCAGTCGCATCTCCACATCCCCTTTAGCTGCGAATCGCGCGCGCCAAGGATTGCGGCACCTCGAATCGACAGGGCTCAATAATATCTACGGTAGCCCACCTTAAACACTCCCTTCCGACTCTTTTGTTGTTCCGTCTCGATCTCTAACCAAGAATAAAGGGCACGAAGCCGGGCTCGCGTATAAGATACGGATCGACCAAGAGACAATTCCCCGACGAGCTCCCAGCCATTGAGTCGTCAATATGGGCAATTTCATCAGTTGGCTCACGGAGAATTCTCCTGGCCAAGACAACAGCGTTGGCGAGGCAAGAGGAACTCAGCCTCAGTCGCTGTCTGGTAAGTCGCTTATGGAGGAGGCGGTGGTGAATAGTTTATGATCAGCTTGAACGGGCCAACTGACCATTATGCACAGGCATGATCAGCACACTGGTCCCTGTCTTGGTAACCAGTGCTATCTTCCTTGCAATCTTCCTCGTTTTCAGAGTATCGCAAAGGAGATTCTATGCCCCGCGTACATACCTGGGCTCCCTACGCGAGAAGTGAGTAGCCACTCGCAACAGTCCACAATGGCTGTACATCATGAGGATAGGTGCTGACGCTTTCACAGTGAACGGAGCCCGGAGCTCCCCAGGGGGGTGTTGAACTGGTTTGCCGCATTTTGGAAGATTCCCGATGCGTATGCTCTCCAACACCAGAGTCTCGATGCCTATCTGTTCCTGCGCTTCCTCCGAATCTGCTGCACGGTGACCTTTGTTTCGCTCTGCATCACCTGGCCAATCCTCTTCCCTGTCAATGCCACAGGCGGCAATAACCTGAGCCAGCTCGAGATCCTTAGTTACAGTAACATCAACCTTGATACGCAGAAGAACCGATTCTATGCGCACACATTCGTGGCATGGATCGTTTACGGTTTCCTCATGTATACCATCACGCGCGAGTGCATCTTCTACATCAACATCCGCCAGGCCTATCTCCTTACGCCTCAGTCGGCTCGGCGCATTTCTTCGCGCACCGTCCTGTTCACGGCCGTCTCCGACGATTTCCTCGACGAGGCTCGCATCCGCCAGATCTTCAGCGCTGATGCTGTCAAGAATGTTTGGATTCACGGAGATACCAAGGAGCTCGATGAGCTGGTCAAGGAGCGTGACAAGGCGGCCCTGACCCTCGAAAAGGGCGAGATCAAGCTGCTCAAGACTGTCAACAAGGAACGAGTCAAGTCTGGCAAGAAATCGCAACCTGCAGGTGAACCCGCCCTGGATACCGAGACTGGCAACATTGCGTCTCGCTGGATCACTGATAAGATGCGACCAACTCACCGTCTCGGCTTGTTGGGTCTTGTTGGAAAGAAGGTTGACACCATCGAGTGGGGAAGAGCCGAGCTCCAGAAGCTGGTCCCCCAGACCCAGGCTGCCCAAGCTGAGTATCGTGCCGGAAACTACAAGAAGCTCCGCGCTGTCTTCGTCGAGTTCCACCACCAGTCCGACGCCCAGGCCGCATTCCAGGTCGTCACGCACCACCATGCTCTTCACATGGCCCCTCGTTATATCGGCGTGCGACCCGAGGAAGTTGTCTGGAGCAACCTGGCTATTCCCTGGTGGCAGAAGATCGTTCGCCGTTATGTCGCCATCGCCGGTGTCGCTGTTCTCATTGTATTCTGGGCCATCCCTGTTGGCATTGTCGGTATCATTGCCCAGGTTAACACTCTCAAGACACTCCCCGGCCTCACTTGGATTGCGTCAATCCCCGACGTAAGAGTCACTGTATCAACATCTCTCTGCCTTCACATTACTGACATTGTCTTCATCTAGATCATTCTCGGCGTCGTTTCTGGCCTCCTCCCGTCTGTGGCACTGGCTATCTTGATGAGCTTGGTTCCTGTGTTCATGCGAATGTTTGCAAGGTTTTCGGGCGAAGTCACTCTTTCCAGGGTTGAGTTGTACACTCAGAATGCCTACTTCGCTTTCCAGCTCATTCAGGTCTTCCTGATCCGCACACTGACCGACACAGCCTCGACTGCTGTCGTGCAGATCGCCAACGACCCATCATCGGTCTTTAGCATTCTTTCTACAGCTCTCCCTACCTCGTCCAACTTCTATATTTCATACTTTATCGTGCAGGGATTGACTATCGCCATCAGCGTCCTCACTCAAGTTGTTGGCTGCGTGATCTTCAATATTCTGTACCG